ACCCGGGGTGATCCCGATTGATCACGTCTCGATTGGACACCACCAATCACAGCGACCGATGCTTAGGAGCTTTGTATTCTCAAGCGTTGTGAGTGGCTCGTGTCCAATTGAGCCGTGTCCAACTGGGTGCCACCCATCGTACCCGAAATCAGACACTAGCGATAAAATTAATACCATGTGATCACAAACACGCTGCTTTTCAGCGTCTCATGAAAGCACCAAGCCCGACAATTACACCAACTAGCCCCAACCTCGCAAGACCGCTCGAGCAGGACGGACGTGCGTCTTGGCTTGCTTCGGGTATTGCATCATCTCATTATTTTTTGAAAAGCGTTTCCGGCTTCGACTGTGCTTTGCATTACATTATTATTTTGACAAGACTGGCCAAGCTCACCTCGTTAGCGAGGGCCCGGGCCAATTATATATAGAAGAAGAAGAAGAACTGGCCCCAATCAATTTGTCGGAGCCACTTTGTGTACACTTGTGCGGTGTACCGAGTCCAGACGAATATGTGACACTGGCGAGGAACTGCACCATTCAACCAGCCGAATATACCAGTTGCACCGACACTGAAATGTGCAGTCAGTGCGTCTCAGCCGAAATCATTATGAGTGCAAAAACGAAATGGAAATTATCAAATACATGTTTTATTAACAGTACAATAAAATATATTGGGGATTGTACGATTTAATCAGTTTTTAATACATTTTTACGGCAATTGTGTACAGTTTTATGTGCACTAGTGCATCCCAACCGAAATCGCTAATGGCACGTTTCCACTGAGCGCGTCACCCGTCGCGTTGTCCATCGCGTCACGACGCGACGCGAAAGAGAGAAAGAGAGGGGTTGTGTACATATACAGGGTGATTTTTTTAACCCGAAACTTTCAAATATCTCGAAAAATAAGCACACTAAGAAAAAATGTTAAGAATCAATATTTCATCATTCCGAGGGTGACATACACTGACGTTAAAATCAGCCCCCCCACCCCGCCCGCTGGGCGGTGAGGGGGCGCAAGTTTGAAATCTTAATGGGAACCCCTATTTTTTTATTGCATATTCGGAATCTTTGGCTAAAAGTACATATGATTTGTCTGAAACATTTTTCTCAATTTATAATAGATGGCGCTGTAATCGACGAAATTCAATTTCTTCGATTTCTCTTATTGAGAATCCATGCTTACGATTCTGCAATACATTAACAAAAATACCACGTTTTTATTGTTAATACTCGAAATTAGTCTTAAAACTTCTCATTATTTTTAATTACTCATTAATTACTTCTCAAGAAACTACTTTTAGCGTAACCCAGGAACAACGACGTGGACGTAGCAGTTTTCTGTTCCCTTTTTAAAATTTTTTAATTAGGCTGATTTATTGCAGATATCTATTTATTGCAGATAAATATTTATCTTACCTTTTGAAATTGAAAAAAAAATAAATACAAACCTCCATTCGGGTTATTCACTGTAGAATTCATTCCTCGTGGCATGCACAGCTGCAACACTGAGCTAATTCATTACGGATATTTATTTTTTTATTGTCTTAATTGGAATTTTGTTTCAAAAATACTGTTTCTGAAGTTAAAAATAAGATCAATAGAGCGTCACGCCTCTTTTCTAATTATTTGAAAAATATTTTTCAATGGCATTTCATTTGGCATATACCAAAACGAATGTCCGTTCTTGAGAAGTAATTATTAAGACTAATTTCGAGTATTAACAATGAAAACGTGGTATTTTTATTGTTAATGTATTGCAGAATGTCGTAAGCATGCGTTTTCAGTAAGAGAAATCGAAGAAATTGAATTTCGTCGATTACAGCGCCATCTATCATGAATCGAGAAAAATGTTTCAGACAAATCGTATGTGCTTTTAGCCAAAGATTCCGAATATGCAATAAAAAATAGGG